TCCAACAACTATTCAACGGAACCGTGATACCCACCAAGCGACAGGTGCTCCAAATGGTAATGAAGTTGTTCGATCCACTTGGATTCATTTCCCACTACACCATCCATGGGAAAATATTGATGCAGGAGATTTGGAGATCCGGAACCAATTGGGACGAACCGATTGCTGAGAACTTGCTTGATATGTGGTACCGTTGGTCGGAGCTATTGGCACTCATTGGAGAAGTTCAGGTGCCTCGATGTTACTTCGGAAATCTTTCGTCTGAATCCCTACGAGAGCTCCAAGTACATGTGTTTGTAGATGCAAGCGAATCAGCCTATGCTTGCGTGGCATACCTCCGACTGCGTTGCGCAGAAGGAACTAGATGCGCTTTGGTGGCTTCGAAGACAAAGGTGGCACCCCTGAAACCACTCTCGATTCCACGGCTGGAGTTACAGGCAGCCATGATTGGGGCACGACTAATGCAAACAGTTTGTTCTTCGCTAACACTTCCGCTCAATAAACGTTTCCTATGGTCGGACTCGACCACTGTGCTGGCATGGTTACGCTCGGACAGCCGTCGCTATCACCAATTCGTGGGATTCCGTGTGGGGGAGATACTCTCCCTGAGCAGCTTGGATCAATGGAGGTACGTTCCATCAGGCTTGAATGTTGCTGACGAAGCCACTAAGTGGGTCTCCGGCCCCACCTTTGCTCCCGATAGCCGCTGGTTTAAGGGCCCTGAGTTTCTCACGAAAGAAGGTATCGAATGGCCTGTGGAAGTGGAGAATCCAACCACCACCAGTCAAGAACTTCGTCCCGTATTTTTGCACCAACACAATGTTATGGAGAAGCTGATAAACGAATGCCGTTTTTCCAACTGGAACCGTCTGGTCAGAGCTATGGCCTACGTACATCGAGCAGTTACTGTACTGAAGAAAAGGATCCCAGCAGAAGGACGAGGCTCTGTCCTGCAACGTAATGAAATCCAGGAAGCCGAATACACAGTACTACGCCAAGCACAAGCCGAAGCGTACCCGGATGAGCTAGCATCGCTGGTAAAGCAAGGAACGATCGCCAAATCCAGTACTCTCTACCAACTAACTCCCTTCTTGGACGACCATGGTATAATTCGGATGGGAAGCAGGATTGCAGCGGCTCCAGAAGCGTCTTACTCCACCAAGTACCCGGTGATTCTACCCAAGAAACATCACGTTACGACGCTGCTTATCGACAACTTCCATCGACGCTTCTTGCACGCGAATCATGAGACAGTTCACAACGAAATGAGACAACAGTATTACATTTCCGGACTTCGTACCTTGATTCGAAAAGTTGCGCGGGGATGCCAGCTATGTAAGGTCAACCATGCAGTTCCCAAGCCCCCGATGATGGCTCCACTGCCCAGTGTTCGGCTCACACCATTTGTACGAGCATTCACATACGTTGGTGTGGACTATTTTGGGCCATTGGAGGTAAAGGTAGGTCGAAGTTTGGTGAAGAGATGGATAGCCCTGTTTACCTGTTTAACGGTGAGAGCTGTCCACCTTGAAGTAACGCATAGCCTGTCGTCAAAATCCTGTATCATGGCCTTTCGGCGATTCGTGGCACGACGCGGCGCTCCCCTTGAAGTGTATTCGGATAACGGCACCAACTTTGTGGGAGCCAATCGCCAGCTGTCCGAAGAGCAACAGAAGATTCGGGACATAAGCCAGGAATGTGCTTCTACATTTACCAACGCGTACACCACATGGCATTTCAACGTCCCAGCAGCTCCGCATATGGGTGGACCATGGGAGCGTTTAGTGAGATCGGTGAAAACGGCCATGAAAACAATATCCGATAGTCCACGTTACCCTAGCGACGAAGTTTTGGAGACAATATTGTTGGAGGCGGAAGGAGTAGTGAACTCACGGCCACTAACATATTTGCCCCTGGAGCAAGCCGATGACGAAGCACTGACTCCGAACCATTTTTTGCTGTACGGATCAAGCGGAGTGAAACAACCGGAAACGGCACTGGTAGGCGATGGTGGTGTACTTCGTGATAGCTGGAAACTAACACAACACATTGTGGATGGATTCTGGCGAAGGTGGGTACGCGAGTACCTTCCTATGCTGACAAGGCGTACAAAATGGTTTGAGAAGGTGAAACCGTTGGAACTTGGCGACTTAGTCATAGTAATCGACGAAAACGTACGAAATAGCTGGACGAGGGGACGAATTCTTGAAACTACCAAGGGAGCTGACAACCAGGTCAGACGGGCCACTGTTCAAACAGCGAGAGGAATCATTTCAAGGCCAGCCGTGAAGTTGGCACTCTTGGACGTGAGAAAGGATCAAATCTCCGCTGAAGAGGATGGCCGTTCCGGGACTGGGGAAGCTCACGGGTGGGGGGATGTTGCCGTGCCCACTGTGCGTACGCAGACGTGAAGCTACCGTCCACTCCCTCGAACGATTAGCGCGAGAAACTGTCAAAACGAAAAAGCACCTGGTGCGCGATACAAGGAAAAAAAGTGAATTGATAACTTTGCTCTAAATACCCAGTAAAATCATTCCGTTTATATTCAATTAGTTCAAAATAACTTAGCATTAGTACCTACGGTAAGAATTGCCATATGAACTTGTGTAACTCGATATGTAATAAGCTTTTACGACAGGTTCTAGATGAGAGAAGTGCGGCAGAGAAAAACATAACCTTATTTTCGGATGAGCGAACACTGAAAATGTAAGTTCAAAAGTAAAACCTTAAAACAACTTTATTAACCTAATATGAAATAAATTTGCAGCTTTGAAGTTGCTCAGTCACCGCAACTATCGGAACAGTGTTTGTTTTACTCCCGCAACAGTCGCCGTATACTGCCCTCGTCAGTGTGCTGCCAGTAATGGATTAGGCATCCAATTCAAGCATGATCTGACCACCATCACTCGCACGAGCTCACGATTCGTCATTGGGGGCGATTTAAATGCCCGCCACGAAGCATGGCGGAACTATCAGCGGAATCAGAACGGACGTCTGCTCTTCGACCACTCGCAGCATGGGCTGTATACAGTGAAATTCCCTGATGAACCGACATTCATCTCTCCAGCGGGAAACCCTTCCACGTTGGACTTTTTTCTATCGAACATTGGACTATCCAAACCGATGGCGATCAACGATCTCAGTTCCGACCATCAACCGGTGGTGGCTGAAGTCGGCACCCACGTGGCACCTACTCAAAGCCTGCGCAAAGACTACCATCATGTCAACTGGGTGCAGTTTGGGCATGTGGTCGACAGAAACATCGATGAAAATCCGCCACTTGACACCGTAGAGGACATCGACCGGACACTGGAAGGGCTCCACCAGGCCATATCCGTGGCTGACGAGACGTGTGTTCGACAAGTTCCTGTGAGGGGTAAGTTTGTTGCCATTGATTCCCACACCCAATTACTGATTCGCTTGAGAAATGTGCGTAGACGCCAGTTTCAGAGGACTGGAGATCTAGCGAGGAAACGTGAAATGGCCGATCTGAACAGGCAGATTGCTTCCAGAATGGACTCACTCCGAAATGAAAGTTTCGGGCGTGTTGTCCAGAATCTGGATGACCGCTCCCGTCCATTCTGGAAGGTAGCCAAGGTGCTGAAAACTCATCCCAAACCCGTTCCACCTCTCAGAGTCGAAAATGATGACGATCGGCTTTTAATCACCCCACAGGAGAAAGCAAATGCGATCGGCGAGCATGTCGCTTCATCGCATTTGCTTGGCTCGTCTATCCAAAGTCCGCTCGAAGATCAGGTTGCGCAATGCGTTCAAAACCTAGATGCCTCCCCTTGTGTCGTGCCTCCGGCGGATATGATTACAGTACAACAAATTTGCTCAGCGCTGAAATGCACCAAGAACATGAAGGCCCCTGGGTTTGACGGCATATTCAACTTGATCTTGAAGAGACTCAGCATGAAAGTGCAGTCTCTTCTAACCGCTATCTTCAACAGATGTTTGGAACTGCACTACTTTCCAAACATCTGGAAAGTAGCAAAAATCATACCAATCCGCAAACCCGGTAAGGATCCAACATGGTCTTCAAGCTACAGACCAATCAGCCTCCTTTCAGCGCTGAGCAAATTGTTCGAGAAACTCATTCTCAATCGTTTGCTCAAGTTTGTGGAGGAAAGCAACATTCTCCTTCCGGAACAGTTTGGATTCAGAAAGGGGCACTCTACCAATCATCAGCTAGTACGGGTGATGAATAACATCCGAAGTAACAAAGCTGTATCCAAGTCCACAGCCATGGCCTTGTTAGACGTTGAAAAGGCGTTTGACAATGTTTGGCATGACGGACTTGTGTACAAGCTTTGTAACTTCAACTTCCCATTACATCTGGTTAAAATCACCCGAAACTACCTTCAGCAAAGGTCGTTTAAGGTATCGTTGAATGGTTGTCTTTCAGACACGTTTTCCATCCCAGCAGGAGTCCCGCAAGGCAGTCTGCTGGGCCCCTTGCTTTACAGCATTTACACTTCCGACATTCCTCCCCTCGGTGACGGTTGCGTGTTTTTCCTGTTCGCAGATGATACCGCAATAGCCGTCAAAGGAAGGATGCCTCGCGAAATAACGAACAAACTTCAACGATGCCTTAACGCCTTTGCTGATTATGCCACCATGTGGAAAATCAAAATCAATGCCTCCAAAACACAAGCGATCATGTTCCTCCATCGGCAATCGCCCAAACTGAAACCGGCTCCATCTTGTACTGTAATCATGGATGGCACAAGGGTTGAGTGGTCCGCCGAAGTAACCTATCTCGGGATGTTGTTTGACGAAAAGCTCCTATTCCGCTCGCATGTGGAGAAAACCGTAGTCAAGTGTACCGCCTTGGTTAGTGAAATATCTTGTGGGACACGGGTTCTAAACGTTAAGGTGACCGATAAGGAATACCGTGATACGATAAAATAAAACGCACGTCTGTCCGGTAGTGCAGTCAGTATAATAAACTGAATGTTTATTCTTCTCTCTGCACAGCTGTTCCAGACAGCCAGTGGTGTAGCTAGGGGTGGATACTACAGTTCTCCCCCTTTTAGTTTTAACATATCAAACATTCGGCAAAACTCGACTACCGTGAAATTTTTAAACAACCGGCAAAACCTAACTACCGTAAACATTTTCTGAAATCGGCATAAAATAACTACCGAAAAAACTAACTCTTTTTTGAATGCCTTCTTGACATTTTCACAAACTCAATGGATTATAAATACACAAAATCGACATCTTTCTTCAGACGTTTAGATCGCTTTGAACGTCTAACACTCTCCAGACTATTCTTCGATTGCGACGATGGACACACAGCTCCGTTCGATGGGCCTTCCTGCGGATCGAACTCCTCGGGTGGAATTCTGAATGAGCCTTGCACATCATCTCCCACAGATGACAAACTTCGACGGTCAACCGACTCAGGATCACGAACGTTAACCCTGTTGCGACCATCCCCGTCACCATATATGAAAGAATCCGAGGCGAATCCGTAAAAATCGCCCTCTTCGTTGATGCTAAGTCTATCGTCATCGTCATCGTCTTCTCTAGCACGCTTCCTCCGTTGACTGCTCTCGCTCCTCCCCAAGAACAAACCTCGGCGCTTTGGGGTACCCACCAGCTTCAGCTGATTTCGGTGAGCAGAGTAAACTCTCCCTCCAACGGAAACCTGAAAAACATGCGAGGAGATACGTTTAAGAAACTTGGCTTCTAACCATCGTCTAATATCTGTAGGTCTAAAATTTTTGTAATAAACTGTATCTCCAGGACGTAACTTGTCAATCCAGTCATGTTTCTTAGGACTAGGACTAAACACAACACGATTATCCACTTTCTTGGGTTTCGTCGAATGATTCTTAAAACTATTTCTAGGATTGGTTAAATCCAACAGCGTCTTTGGTTTAAAACTAAACAATCTCTCGGAAGGAAACGAATGATCCTCTTCCAAGCAAGTGTTCCGGTAGCCAAACAAAAAGTACGAAACTAAATCTTCAGTACTTAAACCAGCCAATTCCGGATCTAGTAAAAACTTCTTTAAACCTTCTTTAACGACTCGAACCATGCGCTCCGCTTGACCGTTACTCGACGGGTTGTAAGGTGGACTCTTCATCACTTTAATACTATGCTTCTCTAAGAATTCGATCAAATCTTTCGAGTTAAACGGTGGTCCGCCATCCGTAACAACTACGTCTGGTAACCCAAACCTCGCGAAAACACTCATGAACTTCGATTTAACTCTCCTGGCATCTGTTCCAAACTGCATGTACTCAACCTCGAGCCATTTCGAGAAACTGTCCACAATAACCAGAAAAACCTTCTTGTCGAAGTAAAAGAAATCCGCATGAATACGCGTAAATGGTTTAGTCGTAGGAATCCAACTGGAATTTGAAACTGATTTAGGAACTACATTCATCTGGCAACACACACTACATGACTTGACAAAACTTTCAATGTCACTGTTCATACCATACCAGTAAACCGTCCTTCTTGCCATCTGCTTGATCTTCGTAATTCCGGAGTGATTCTTGTGCAACAACTTCAACATCTGCTTTTGCAAACTAGCAGGAATAAAAATACGATCTTGGTACAATAAACAACCATCGACGAGTTCAAGATCTTGATGCTGAGCATAAACATCTAAAAGATTGCGCTCCAACTTCTTTGGCCAACCATGCTTCATGTAATAAACTATTTTCAGAATAAACTCATCTTGCTTTGTTTCATTTGCAATCAAAACATGGTCCAAAGGAGACTCATTGTGTACATTCAAACTTTTAATAAACTCCTGTTGCAACGAAACTGGCACCTCATCAGGTAAAGGAAACCTTGAGCAGAAATCAGCATTACCCATTTTCGATGACGGTCTGTAAACAATGTCAAAGTCGTAAATGTTTAGTTCCATTACATATCTCTGCAAACGCGTCACGAACAACGAATTTTTTCCTTCTTTACCGAATATGCCTATTAACGGCTTATGATCCGTGTACACAGTAAACTTCTTTCCAAACAAAAACTTGTGGAACTTCTTTATGGTACTCACAATAGCCAACGCTTCCAAGTGTAAAATTGGGTAGGATTTTTGGGAATTTGTTAAACTGAAGGAGGTAAAACTAATAGGCCTCTCTTCTCCATTGATTTCGTGAGCAATCACGCCACCTAACCCATAGCTACAAGCATCTGTCACAACAACGACAGGCTTCTTAGGATCAAAAAATTCTAATAGTTTTGAAGACAACAACAACTGCTTACTATCATTAAATACACTAGTACACTCATCAGTCCAGACAAACTTAACATCTTTCTTGAGTAAACGATATAAACAGCTTAAACGTGAGGATAAATTGGGAATAAACTTGCCATAATAGTTTATCAAACCCAAAAATGCCTTCAGCTCGGTGACGTTATTCGGAACCTTTGCTCTCCGAATCGTCTCGACCTTTTCTGAGCTCGGTAACAAACCTTTTTCTGTCAACACGTGGCCCAGAAATGGCAAACTTTTCACAAACCACTTGCATTTTTGCAAATTAACTTTTATGTTGGCATTAGAAAGTCGTTCTAAAACCAAATAAAGCTTTCGTAAACAGTCCTCATAATCCTCACCAGCTATCAAAACATCGTCAAGGTAGCAATAAATTCCGTTAATGCCTTTCAAAACCTGATCCATGACTCGCTGAAAAATAGCAGCACTTGAAGAAGCACCTTGTGGTAGACGATTATACGAAAACAAACCTTTTACTGTATTAATCACCATAATTTTTTTAGACTTTTCAGACAACAACAACTGTGTGTACGCTCCAGCCAGATCTAGTGAACAAAAAACTTTAGCACCAGCTAGTGAAGCAAAAATATCTTGAGCCAACGGAAGCGGATATGTGCTCGGAATGATCACCTGGTTGATCGAAACCTTACAGTCGATCACCATCCTAATACCTCCGTCTTTCTTCACTACAACAATCACCGGCGATGCCCACTCACTTGCATCGATCGGTGTTATGACGCCATCTTTTTCCAAACTTTCCAAATGTTCGTCAACTTTATCTTTCAAACGTAATGGAACGTCATATGCACGCTTGAATATTGGTACTGCTCCCTTTTTCAACACTAAATCTGCCTGAAAACCTTTGATCGGCGTAAACATAGATTTATCAAAAATATTGGCAAACCTACCTTTAACATCGTCCACAATTTGTTCCTCTGAAGCCGGAAACGACAGTTGGTTCACGCTCGCCCCACTGCCAAACGCATTTCTCCAGTCAGAATAGAAGATGTCAAGCCAATCACGTCCAAGTAGCGGTGTAAACGAGCTTCCACTCCTCAAGACAATCAGCTTAACAGTCTTTCGTCGTCCGTTCAACTCAACCTGCACCGGAATCTGTCCTTCGACCACTAATCGACTCCCGCTGATCACTGCCAACTTCTTGGTACACTTCTGCATCGAGATATCGGCGAATTCTCCCTCGTACGTCTCACTACTGATGACGGAAACTGCAGCTCCACAGTCTATTTCCATCTCTAATCGCACACCTTCGACTACAACTGTGCGGAAACACGGTTCGTTGATGGTTTTGATGGAAGAGATCAACATACACTCCATCTCCTCATCATCCGAAATAGATCTGTTCAGCCGACGACGCAAACTTTTCTGATACTCGGTCAACTTCGGCTTTGCTGCAGGAGAATCGACAAACTTCACAGATTTCCTCTCTTTGTTCTTCCGATCATAACAGAAGCGACGCGTGTGACCATCTCTGTCACAGAAACTACAGTGAAACTTCCGTGATCTAAACGAAGAACGATTTCTACGGTCGAAAGAAACAGAACGACTACGACTTCTGCTTCGCCTACTTGGTCCGCGACTCCTACCTCGGGATCTTCCACGTGAAACTGTTCGCTCTTCGCGTTTACCAAGCCTGTTCAAAACACTCACACGACCGGATTCACGGGACACTAGCTTACGCCTTGCTCCAGCTATCTCCCTGTTGATGATGATCTTCTCCGTCTTACTAAGCGTCAGATTCTCTTCATCAAATAAACGCTGTTGCACATCCGGGTCGTTGATGCCACACACAAGCTTGTCACGAATTGCGATGTCCTTAAAATCGCCAAACTCGCACATCTCCGCTTGCAGCTTCACACCAAGAATGAAATCCTCTGCGCTTTCGGTAGGACCTTGCACTCGTTGGTAGAACTTGAAACGTTGGATCATGTCGCTTTCAGTTTTGTCGTACCGCTTCTTCAAGGTATCGGTGATATCCTTAAATGACACCGTCTTCAAATCCTTACCAGGAAAAAGAAGCTTCAACTCGCTGTAAACTTCTTTACCGCATGCCGCCAGAAACGATGCTTTCTTGTCATCAGCATCTGTTACCTTGTTGTCGATGAAAATCCATTCCATTTGCTCCAGGTACTGGCCAAACGGAATCGTACTAGGTACGTACGGCTCTACGTGACTTACCAACGGCATTCTTGACAGCGTACTAAACAAAGAAAACTGAAAAACCGATTCGATAAATTATCACACAAAACCAATATTAAAATTTCTTTCAGTGTAATAATCGAACAAACTTGATCACAACAAACAGTTGATTAAATCAAAACATAATTTTTAAAACAATTTTCCCAAAACTTTTTGCTCAATTTTTCAAACAGTTTTTCTTTCCGTGCATATAGCATAAACTGTTAATCTTGCCAAACAAAACAAACTTCAACTGATGTGTATCGAAACAATCGAGACCCACTTTTACAAAGATCAAACTTTATCAACGAAACACAAACGTGAAACACACAAACAAAACAACTTCGTGTAAATGTCGCTCAACACAAGCGTAAATAATGTTTGCTATATGAAACTAGCATAACCCGATGCAACAAACTCGCGCAACAACCTCACACTCTCGCGATACAAGTTATGTTGCAACAAAATTCTGACGCAACAAAGTGTGAAACACTACAATGTTGGTGAAACAAACTTTTCGTACTGCGGCAACTACTTCAACTGTGATGGAATTGTTTCTTTATTTAACTCACAAAGCCAGGTCACTGTACGGAAAACAAAATGATACACAAGTTCTTTGTTTGCTAGGCAAAAGAAAATGGCTCATATAAACTAACTTTAACACTACACGGCATGCAAAGTAAAACGCTAATTCTCTTTTTATTTCCACTTTTCGAGAAAAACTTACGTGTCTTTGCAGCAAACCTGTTAAAGCAGCCAAAACAAACCAACTCCTGTATGTGCTACGTAGCCACGGAATGCAGCGTAAACTATTGTTGTTCCTTCCGTCGGCAGAAAAACACTCCAACCACCAACGAGAAAGGCTTTTGGTCGCACCAAATCTATAACTATTCTGCACCAGTGAAAACACTAAAATCACTGCAATCAGGAACACTTGCACTTCCCGGGACGCGAAAACTAAAATCTCCACCTTCGTCGTCACTGAAATATCTTGTGGGACACGGGTTCTAAACGTTAAGGTGACCGATAAGGAATACCGTGATACGATAAAATAAAACGCACGTCTGTCCGGTAGTGCAGTCAGTATAATAAACTGAATGTTTATTCTTCTCTCTGCACAGCTGTTCCAGACAGCCAGTGGTGTAGCTAGGGGTGTACAGTTAGGTGTCTGTATCCGCTGATTTGCCGCAGATCTCGCCTCTCAAGGGTAAACAAACTGGCCGTCTACAAACAAATCATAGCACCTGCGATCCTCTACGCAGCTCCGGTGTGGGAACTCACAGGAACAAAATTCAGGTCGCACAAAATAGAGTGCTGAGGATGGTTCTTGATCGTCCTTTCGACACTAGAATAACAAATTTACACGAAGAGGCAGGAATTGCCAAAATAGATTCAAGAATTAACGAAATCAAGACTAAATTTGCAGAAAAATGTAATTTATCAGAACATGCTTTGATAAGCAACTTGTATATAGTAGGTTAGGTGCATATAGTAGTAGTTGTAAATAGTAATCATGGATGGCACAAGGGTTGAGTGGTCCGCCGAAGTAACCTATCTCGGGATGTTGTTTGACGAAAAGCTCCTATTCCGCTCGCATGTGGAGAAAACCGTAGTCAAGTGTTCCGCCTTGGTTAGGTGTCTGTATCCGCTGATTTGCCGCAGATCTCGCCTCTCAAGGGTAAACAAACTGGCCGTCTACAAACAAATCATAGCACCTGCGATCCTCTACGCAGCTCCGGTGTGGGAACTCACAGGAACAAAATTCAGGTCGCACAAAATAGAGTGCTGAGGATGATTCTTGATCGTCCTTTCGACACTAGAATAACAAATTTACACGAAGAGGCAGGAATTGCCAAAATAGATTCAAGAATTAACGAAATCAAGACTAAATTTGCAGAAAAATGTAATTTATCAGAACATGCTTTGATAAGCAACTTGTATATAGTAGGTTAGGTGCATATAGTAGTTGTAGGTTAGTTGTAGTTGTAAATAGTAGTTATAAGTAGTCTCCTTTTTCAATTCAAATCAAAGCAATCCCACCAAGGTGGTCATACTTTAAAATAGGCCTGATAGGACTAGTAACTGTAAATAATAATTAAAATCTCAAATGAACTAAAGTTGAAAAGACGCATCTGTGTCACTTGAAAAAATAAGAAATATGTAAACCACACAATCACAAGAAATAAAGATCATTTTTAAGTTTAAGTTTAAGTCCATTAGACTCAATTATTTAGAAAAACAATTCATAATTAAAATCACAATTTCTAAACTACACAATTATTTCAGGAGTAACATTTGATAACGGCACAAAAGCTTTTGTAAACAAAAGTTGTGCGGCTCCTTACACGCGAACCGAAGAACGCCAACGTAAACCAACAACATCATCGGCTGGGGGAAATTTTCCCGTTTCCGATAATTGTATTGGTTTGACGTACTTTGGTTCGCGTGTATAAGGCTTTACAACTTTTACTTACAAAAGTTGTTGTGCCGTTATCAAATGTTACGCCTGGTTTAATTTTGGCTACACTCTTAGCTACGATTACCTAAAATTATCGGTAAAAAGCTAACGATATTTTTTACCGAGAAAAAACCGTTACTTTTACTTTAACGACGATTTTTTACTATAAATTAGGTAATTTTTAACGTTAAATATTCGTAATCCATGATTACCGATAATTTAGGTATGTGCACTTTCATCGATTATCGGTAATTTCTACCGATATTTAGGTATTATTTACCGACTTGTGCATCTTAGCGTGTATTGGCGTTGACGGCGACTTTGTAGCTCTTTACTCCTATAGGAAAAATCCATAAGCAAACGTCAGACTGTGCGTGAAACATGGCGGACTTTGTACTATCCTTTCACTCCACCAAAAATTCCCATAAGAAACTGTCTAAATTAGCTGGAAGTGTAAATTTTTCGACGGTGCCGTCAACGCCAATAGTAGTTAAATTCCAACAAACTTTTGGTCCGCTGCATCACAACTGGCATCACTAGTGTGCATCTTTCAAAATGTAAAGATACATACAAATCCTGGGACCTGGTTGCAGTTAAGTGATCCTCGAGGTTATACCAATGTATAGACGTAGCCAGACGGGGGCAGGGAGGACAACTGACCCCCCCCCCTAGACTCAGCAACACAAAGGCTTTCGGTGAAATGGCATTCGGCCAAATTTTCCATAGTATTTTTTTCGCCCCTTCCTAGCTTGTAACCTGCCTAGCCCTTGTAACAATGCCCATGGTATTATATAGGGCAAAAGGATGTAATGTCGGCCCAAATGCCCCCAAATTTGGGCCCATACCGCAATCGACTAAATTTTCAATAGCTACCAAAATATCCATTAGTACCGTCAAAATGACGCGTTCATCTAGATAAAATTGATAAATAGCAGATTTTTAGCGATGGGCCAAATCTTAAATCCATTTCCCCTATATTATATTCTAACTGTGAGAACTGACATCAGGTGGCTAGTGAAATTCAGCATTTTGAAGGTATTGATATTTTGCAGCACTGATTATGATAGGACCTTGGAAGTTGGATAAATCTAGTAATTTATAATGCGCCAAAGACATACTGCACCCGGCTGCGCAACCGCTACGGCTCCATCATACGCCGTATGACAAAAGCACAATGACTGCACAACCACTGAGCCACCACCGGCAACTTGCTACCCTGTATTTTCCACAAAAATTTGTTTTCATTTGACCCTGCCGCACTATTTGAAAGCGCGAAACGCACTGCACTCGAGTGGAATTCGTCACGACATCGCAGTAGACAGACCCAGCGAATTCAAATTATAAATTTCAACCCGTATGTAATCCATTAAATATGGTTTCGGAAAAGTAACAACAGCCGCAGTCAATGATATGCTTAATAGAGATGTATTATTTCAGTACCATACATCTTACGATTAACGAACTTAAGCAGACGATTTAGCGGCAGCAGCAGCAGCGGCAGCCTGTGCCTTCTCCTCGCGGATACGATCCTTCTTGAGGACACCGTAGTAGGCGCGCTTGTCAGCCGGCGTCTGGAAGCGACCATGACCCATCTTCGACGAGGTATCGATGAATTTGAGGTTGATCTGTTCCAGAGAGGCGCGCTTGGTGTGCACCAACAACGACTTACGGAGGGTAATGATACGGCGCTTGGCACCAATGCAGCAGCCCTTGATCATAAGGAAATCGTTATTGATCTCACCATAGAATGGGAAACCACCCATAGGAGTGATTGTCTTGTCCGTCAGATCGTACTCGGTGGCAGCGCTGTTCTTGACAACCTGTAATGAAACGAAAAACAAAAAAGATTAAGTTACACTATTTTTAAGATCACATTTAGCTTTGGTGGTAAATGTAATCAGTCCTATCATTATGTATACATGGCGTTTCATCGAAATGTAGTAAAATAGATTGATGTCGGCTACAAAGGATATCATCATTCGAAGCAGGACCTAATAATACCGATATGAAGTGAAATTGCACATACCTTGCCATCCTTGGTGTGGATTCCGGCACCAATACGGTAGATCTTCTTATTGATTTCGGTACGGTGATGGTAACCCTTCTGACCAGCACGAGCAACGGTGAAGGCCACACGTGACGGATGCCAAGCTCCAATACAGGCAACCTTGCGCAGACCCTTGTGCGTCTTGCGGGGCAGTTTCTTGGTATGCCAACGACTGGTAACACCCTTGAAACCTTTACCCTTGGTGACAGCGACACAATCGATCATTTCGTCCTGGGCAAAGACCCGTGATACTGGGATTGGCTTCTCCAGATGTTCCTTGACCCAGTTGACCTTATCTTCGATGGTTCCTCCATTCAGTTGGATCTCAATGATATGGGCCTTCTTCTGGCCTTGCTTGATCAGACGAATCTACATTCATAGAGATAGTAATATTAAAACAATGATTCAAGTAAACATGAGAAATCTTAAACAAGTTAGTTGAACTGTGGCTGGTATGGTTTATCTACGCGGTCACAGCCCAGGGGCTACGCGAAAGATCAGGAATATACCGTCCATCACCTCCCGAAGGGCGATTTTATCTACGACATTGAGGAACAACCGTACATGGTAAAGCAGAGCCGGCCCCCATATTTTAGACAAGTTCCGTCGTCCGAAGACAATAGATCCGTCCAGGTGATGTCGTGTGTAATTCTAGACCCACAATTTAATAACGTGGAACAACTAAACTTAATTTTTTTTTTCGTGAATCAAAACACGCCCATGCAAACTAATAATCCCATTCGATTAAGGAAATCTGCCATTGTACGTTTGGTTGTTCCGGCTATTCCAAAGGTTGATCTTAAATTAATAAGTAACGTATAACTCATTCATGTGAACTCACCTGAGAGTGGGCAATGATGCGGATGAACTTGCAATAGCGGATCATTTTCTTGAAGTTATCATCGATCGACTTCTTACCCAGATCGTCAGTCCACTTCTTGGAGGCCTTGGTGAAAGCCTTCTTCTTGCTCGCATGCCTTTAGATCGGAGAACAACGGAAAGGTTGCAATAAAACGAAAAAGACAGAACAGAGAAAGGTTCTCATCAGATATCAACTGAGCGGAGAACCATTTCTCAAGCCATGTTCACCAGAATTTCCTACCATCGGGAAGGGAAATTGGCTCACATGACAAATTTGAGCCCTCTCATAACGATCGAAGAGCTTTTTTGTCGTTTCATTAGAAATAAGTTCTCCTATGTGTGTCCAACTAAATTGAACGAATTAAAATCAGAAGGAAAGCAGCAGTAAGATGTTTCAACAGAATAGTTCAGACATCTTGTTGGAACAAGTTAGCTTCATCATACAATGCGTTCAAGTGGGTAAATATGAGATTATGAACAGTATTAAAATCGTACCAGTTCTTGTAGAAACGACGACGGCATTCTTCCGACAAATGCTGAGCCCAAACGTTGCACAGAGCACGTGGTCCGAATGGAGTTTCGATGTAACCAACAGCTCCAACAACCACAATTGGTGGCGTTTCCAAAATGGTAACGGCTTCAACGACCTCCTTCTTGTTGATCTCTGCAATGATACACAATTTCGATGGTAATGTAAAGGTGTTCTCAAGAAAAGGTCATTGTACAGCATTCAACTAATGTGTCAGACAGCCCTAGTTCTAAACTGGTTTGTAATTCATGGTTTATCAGAAATAACCGTAAACATAAAATTGATCATCATAGAAACGCAATCCTTGACATCGAAGGCCATTACTATTGCAATACTCACTTGAACCCGGTCGGTCTGCTTCACGCACAATGTGGGTCATACCGGCCTTGTATGCGAGGAAAGCGGTCAAATGAACCGGTTTGGAAGCATCATCTTTGGGGAAAGCCTTTATCCTACCCTGGTGACGAGAGGCACGCTTCTTCGGGTAGAAGGCCATAGAACCATGACGAGGGGCGGAGAATTTACGATGCGACTATGGGAAAGGAAAAATAAAAGTTAGGTTAGGTAAAAATGCTTTGAAATTTAGGCACTAAATACACATTGACTTAGTATAGATTACCAGAAAACTACTGTAAATTATCAATACCATAAATAATAAAGTGAAATCTGTTACTTTTACAACGTAATACGGATTATGAAGTATTTACTTGATAAAACGAAAACCGCGTGGTTAAATATCGACCCTCGAAAAATAAAAAAAAAATGGTTCAGATATTATAGATTCCGACGAAAAAACTCAAGGAAATTTTATGCAATGAATGTTTTGGATACTAGTTTACTACTTATAATCACAATTAAAATTGAAAAAATGCACAAGGAACTACTCACCATCTTGTCTACGTTTACACGTCCGACTTCCACGAAGTACAGATACGGAAAAGAAGGATGTTGAAAAATCGTGTCTTCTCGCCGTCAAAGTGCGCTGACGCTAAAGGGCCACCCACAATAGTCCGTCACCGTCAGCGTCAACTGACAGCTTGGTTTGAGCTAACGCTATTCAGTTTAGCAACCCACAAAGATGCGTTGCGCTCACTACGCGCCAGTACTAAAACGCTGACGCTGTGCTAAATTTTGAAAATTTTCAAAATTGACGCAGCGTCATGTTGCTGTTTTGTCACATCAGCGTAATCAGAAGCGTATGTTGTGCCGTGTTGCTTTGAACACATCATGGAAAACATTGTTAGTAGGAATTTGCATTTGTAAGGAGGGCCAACCCCAATTCCCAAGCAAATGTCAGTGATTTTTTTTTTCAATAAAATCGAGAATAAAATACAACTAGTGAAATAGCTTTGTAGACAATTGCAACTATTTAACAATATTGTGTAAATACATGTTTGGCCAACACATTTCGGTTAACGTATGCAGATCGTGTCGCATTGTTGCCTCTCTGAAGGGCCGCAGAGTTAATACATCTCAGAGGATCAACTAATGTACGCCATTCACTGACGTTCCCATCACCATCCCTCCTGGATCTGGACAGCCGTTGATTGAAGTTGTCTTGAATAGAGTCGGTGTATAATGAGTCACGCCAAGAGAAAAACAGTTGAACTCGCATCACGGTTTTCGAAAGATTCCCTTTCTTTTAACTTGGGAACAGAGGACTTCTGCATCAACTTCAAATGGCTTCTAGCGAGGAAAAAAATTAACGGCTGTAGTAAATCATTATATCAGTGATTTTGTCGAATTATTTTAACAAAAAATAGTAGAAATTCTCATTACTGATCATTACAAAACGTATCGCATGACAAATGAAATGCTCACTGCGTGTATATGGTCATTTATTCGGTTATATTTAATATTTAATTGCAATACCTTTCGTGGACCTTTCATAGCATCGTAATGCTTGTTTACTTTGCACGATAGGTAGCCGGTTTGACAGTTCAATAGGTAGACTTGGCTTCACTCTTGGCGTGACTCATTATACACCGACTCTAGTCTTGAATTAGAGGTAGGTGCACTGAACCAATTTGACATATTCCTGTTATGTGGGAATCTAATAAATTTGCGCTATAAGATAATCCATTGAAAATGATATGATTGAAAATGTGTCATGTAAATTCTATATGAATATCTGATACATTTACAATGCTGATAATTTGGTAACTTTTATATGATCGTCATATGATAAATTAAAATCAGTCAAATTATAATAATTAACTGAAATGGATTTGAAACCCATAAGCATAAGCTTTACGTTTCACCACAATATAATATATGTGTCATAAATCAATCGAAGTAAAGTTTATGTGAAAATCACATGAAATTTACTTCTTCTTTTGACACATATATTTAATCGATTTTTAAAAATAAATCGGAAAATAAACATCAGGCAGTGGGAGCTTTTTCACAGTTGTGTCTTTTTTTTATTGTAGCTGATTTGGGATTCGATCAAGAACTGTTGAGGTGTGATGCTTTCGGTTTCTGCGCTCGATTCCACTGGGACACGACTGACTTTAAGACTGAGCTCGTTCAATTAGCATGAAGTAAGAACAGCTCTCCCGACATGGAATGTAGTGCAACTTTATGCTCGTTTTGCTAGAGTGAAGACAAATAGCACTGACAAATTTATGTTCCGTTTCGGTGGTGTCAATAATTTATGAAGAGCAATCATGTAAGATGTATTTTATTTTGAGCGATATTCATCCCAGAAAAACATGCCAAAACAAATGTTTGCTGTTGGACTTCTTAAAAGGCAAATCTATATGACTATATAATGATTGGGATAAATCTGTTTACAATCTTTAAACCTCAAAAATCAAAGGAAGCTATTCCAATGAGATATGAGATATACATGTTTTCCTATACTGCAAAGTTAAATGACAGTCCAATAGTTTCTACATGTCTGTTTACACGCGACATATCAACAAACGTCAAAAATCGTTAAAAGCAACTTCAATAAAATATACATGATTATCTTATAAGATATATCTTTTAGTGAGCAATATTCATCATGAAACCAGGTATATTGTACTGAATTTTCTCATAATGCAAACTTATATGATTTTCCATTAGTTTCTAGATGTCTGTAAAGAGCCTGGATATAAATTCAGGCTCTTTAGATGTCTGTTCCCACATATATCAACATGACATATCAACAATTTTTCACCATGAAATATATCAGACAATATTCATATACTTTTTACCTATCGCTAACTACGTTCGAAGCAAAGTATTATCAAGTACAAAGTATGTGAAATTACGATAGAAATCATTCCATATCGCAGTCATAGTTTTAAAGTGATAATACAATGGAATCTATCAATCATCACATAGAATTAATAAATCTGCTGACATTGCTATGTTATAAGATGGATCCAGTAAACGGTACATGTCGATTTGTTTCAGTGTGGTGGATATGGCCGGAGCAAGTTATTCTTAAGAGGAAATGCAGCACCCCCAACAATGAAATACGGCATCACTTCATTTGAGCCTGGCAACTTGCTCGGTGCTTGCAAATCCAACTCGCCATTCACCAATCGCCTCCAAAATTCAGAATCCCCCCTATTCTGCGAGTCACGTGACTCTCTGTCACCAGTGAGGTGACAATAGTCACCTCGTGTGAGGTGACTCTCCATTTGATTTACATGGAGAGTCACCTCACCGGTGACAGAGAGTCACGTGACTCGCAGAATAAGGGGGAATGTTCGGACTTTTTTTAATATTAAATCTTCTACCAAAACAAATGATTAAAACGAGATTATGCTACTGTCAAAACGCAATGCGTGACGCATGATTGTGCGCAAGCGCTGCGTCAATGCGTCCGTCAGCCTTTTTAGTACATGACGGATGCGTTGACGCTGACGGTGACGGTGACGGTGACGGACTATTGTGGGTGGCCCTTAAGCAAAGGTAATTTTAAAAGGGATGAATTTGGGTCCTAACAGTGTTGCCGTTTTTCTTTTTACAACGTTTGGAAATATTTCAGTGCTCACGCTATTTCAAAACAACTCTAATTTGAGTAAAGTCCTCTAAGTAAAAGCACCCATTCTAGTCGAAATTCTAGTACTACATTATGTTTGTTTAGATTCGCTATGAAAGTTTGACACATTAAATGGGGGGCTCGTGGATTTTCCTATGTTTCGAGGGGTGCATCGATTAGCTTGGGACCGAAGATAGTACCAGCAACAATCAATACGAAACTAACGATTTTAAATTGGCTTACTACTTGACTACCCGCATAAACGCGAACCATAAATTGACCTTACCTAAAATGGTTAAAAATTGTTTATAATCCCTGCTAAACTTTAACTGAAATGGTTATGGAACTTTACATGAACGTTTAATGATAAAGTTTCAACCTTATGTATTATGGTTTTTTGGAACTGGACCTTACAAATAATGGGTTGTTAAGAACCATTACCATTCCAAATTCTTGTTTTCTCCATACATTTTCAGAAAGAGAACTATATAAGAACGTTTTTACTTATGATTTGAGAACATTAATGGTAATGGTTATGGTAGTCAGTAAGGTCCATTAATGGTTTTGTATTATCGCTCAACTTTACGTGGAATATATCGTGAATTGGTAATCAGCAAATTACAGGCAACCAATTCGCGATATATTCCACATAAAGTTGATCGATGTTACAAAACCATTCGTGGACCTTACTGACTACCATAACCATTACCATTAAAGTTCTCAAACCATAAGTTAAAAGGTTCTAATATAGTTCTCTTTCCGAAAATGTATGGAGAAAACAAGAATTTGGAATGGTAATGGTTCTTAACAACCCATTATTTGTAAGGTCCAGTTCCAAAAAACCATAATACATAAGGTTGAAACTTTATCATTAAACGTTCATGTAAAGTTCCATAACCATTTCAGTTAAAGTTTAGCAGGGATTATAAACAATTTTTAACCATTTTAGGTAAGGTCAATTTATGGTTCGCGTTTATGCGGGTAGCCTATTGGTCCCAAGCAAACGATTAACGTACCCAATTCTAGTTGAAATTCTAGTACTACGCAATGGTTGTTTTGATTCGCTATGAAAGTTTGACAGATAAAATGAGGGGTTATTGGTTTTTCCTATGTTTCAAGGGGTGAATCGATTAGCTTGGGACCGAAGAGAGTACCAGAGCTGAGCCAAAAAGTTGAGCACGTTATTTCAGAACCTTCTAGTCTTAGAGTTACCTCTATGGTACCAGCCCGAAAAAAAAATAACATCAAAAATACATTAAAAAACAATGTAACAATAAGACGAAAATTATTATTGCTATAACCCGACCAACCGTTCGTGAAACTTCTTCAAAGTGCTTTATACAGAAATAAAGATTTATGTCGGCAATCCTTTACTTTAAATTTTCTATGATTTCGATGTACACATTTAAAAATCTTTATTGCTCGATACTTACATTTAAGATTATTTCTTCATCGGTCATATGATAGTAATCTATAAAGGTGCCATACTAAATTTCTTTTAATTTCGATATCTCACATGGACTTTAGTATTCTTTACAAATATTCATCAATAAATATTTAAATACTGATATCATCGTAACTTTGAACTTTGACGAAGAACAACAAAGATTGCTATCGATGCACATTTATAATCTCCTTGTTATCGATTTGCATCGTTGGTTAAAGAGAGTTCGAGACACACCAGGTGACAGATAGCAATGTTTATATTATTTATCGACATATTCGGCATTTCATCGGAAGAAGCAATCTGCTGGTAAATGAACGAGAAGACCGATGGCCGTGACGCAGCAAATGTTTACCATTGTAGTTCTTCACGTTTTATATTTAATAACCCGTGATAGCATGCGTGGTGGGATTCTCGGCATTTGGAACCCAATGAGGAAAATTAATACCTTTTTGAACTCTATTACACCTACATGGCTGACTGGTTGATGGTTATGACAAAACAATATTTAATTCATGTATGAAAAGATTTACAGAAATTTCAATACACCACATACTAGAGTGTGTTTGCCTGTCGTTGATAAGCTCATCGACAGCAGCCGTGGACCCGAGGATTAGCAACCAACAACGAAATCAGTACACCCCAGATGGCCTGGGATCGAAACTAGAAATTATGCAGATAAAAAATCACAAATAAAATCAGCAGTTGTGTATCGATATTTTGATTTTACAACAGAAATCGATATTTTGATCTGGCAACACAATCGATATTTTAACATTGGTAACGATTGGTAGCAATATTTTGAGACAGATCTTTATAAACGATTCACGATTAGACTTTTAGCATCTTTACAATTATTCATGAAATGGTGACGATCGCTATCGATTTTTCTTATGAATGGCTTTGAAGATCGATGTATAGAAAATTAAAGAAAATTAACAAAATGGTTGGTCGGGAATTGCATCTGAAACTGGACTGTCCCAAAAATGCAAAACGTGTGATAGAGGTGCACGTTTTGATGTCTTAGGAGCACTTATTGCTTGTATCATAAGGAATAAGTGCACTGAAGACACCAAGACGATTAGACGTATACTTGCAGTTTTATCACACTTTTTAATAAGTGAAACGCGCTTATTAGTCCAATTTGGTGTGAAACGTGCAATATCTTAACAATGATACACAGACAAACAGACATAACACTAGCAAGTTGTTCATCGAACAAGCATTTAACCAACAATCAATACGAAACTAACGATTTTAAATTGGCTCACCACTTTAGTAGCCTATTGGTCCCAAGCAAACGATTAACGTACCCTATTCTAGTTGAAATTCTATTACTACACTATGTTTGTTTTGATTCGCTATGAAAGTTTGACAGATAACATCAGGGGTGTGTGGATTCATGCAAAACATGCAGGGGTGAGTGAAATAGCTTGGGACTGCTTGGGACCGTTGTTCTGGTACTGAGTGAGCCAAAAATAATAATGATTTTCTTCGGGACCCAGTGGTCTTAGAGTTACCTCTATGATAATACCATAGAGGTAACTCTAAGACCACTGGGTCCCGAAGAAAATCATTATTATTTTTGGGTCCCTCAGTACCAGAACAACGGTCCCAAGCAGTCCCAAGCTATTTCACTCACCCCTGCATGTTCTGCATGAATCCACACACTCCTGATGTTATCTGTCAAACTTTCATAGCGAATCAAAACAAACATAGTGTAGTAATAGAATTTCAACTAGAATAGGGTACGTTAATCGTTTGCTTGGGACCAATAGGCTACTAAAGTGGTGAACCAATTTAAAATCGTTAGTTTCGTATTGATTGTTGATAATACCCTGGACAGCCTACACAGCAAAAAAAAAAAATGTAATATCGATCAACGTAATTCAAGCTGATGCATGAAATAATGATGTAATAGCAAAACGCAGATACAATATTACATCAATGGATGTAATTTTGTTCGCAAAATCGATGTACATCGTACAATGTGATTTTACACAACCGATGGATTGACCTGGTTGCAGCAGTTTCGATGTAATATTCAACAACTTTTTTTGCTGTGTATGGCTTATATCATGTAATATAAGCTGTCTTGCAATGAGCACTCATACATCTAGTTTTCACTGGAAATCCTATATATGAGTGCTCATTGCAAGCCAGCCTATATTACATGATATAAGCCCGAGACGGCTAATACATAGGTGTAACAGTCGGAAGAAGTGTTAGTTTGTTTACTTAAATGAACCATGCCCATTTTGTTATGGCATGTTTGCTATACGAAATGCGCCTCGTGTTTATTAGCGAATTTCACATCAAAGATTGATTAATTGAGTAGGAAATCAGTTTGGCACGGCATTTGTGACCAGCATACACCTTCCGGTAGTATGAAACAGGTCAAAAACTGTTCAAATCCGCAGATAAAATTTTTGTTTTGAATTTCTGTATAGCAAAATAGTGAACTTTTCGTGAACATTAACGGCAAAGAACTCACCAACACTGGGAGACTGTGAGTTCCTGCCCACCTGTTCATTTTCCATCGTGATATAAGCCATAGTCTGTCCGGGGTATAAAATGATTAAATTTTAATCTTTCGTTGTTACTAATATTTTTGATTGTAGCCCGATCTGAGTAAACCGAAGCTACATTTGGGTTATGTTTACTTAGCGTGTATCCTTTGGGAGGGTCTAATACCTCGTTCACATTACAGCCTATATCACGTAATATAGGCTGTCTTGCAATGAGCACTCATACATAGAATTTCCAGTGAAAACTAGATGTATGAGTGCTCATTGCAAGGCAGCGTATATCACGTGATATACGCTGTAATGTGAACGGGGTATAAAATTAAAGCCCACTAGTTAAAGTATGGACGACTGTCACCACAAAACTGAAAAAAAGCTGTTCCAATCGAGCAAAGCGGTGCATTTTGACGGTTCGATTGGAACAACTTTTGACAGACGTCCATACTTTTACTGTAAAATTGGTTAAAAATTCTCGCGTCACTTTTCAAATAGACCAATGTAACATATCCACCATTTTGAGAAAATCGAAGTTGAAGTTCGACAGATTATTATTTTAACTGTTTAAAAACGATACGTTTTGCAATACTATTTTTAATGTAGTCAGTGTATAAGAACGTTGAAAATTCAGAAGAAACGGTAAAATCACAATTTTACTTTGAATTTCATGCTACAACATAGAAAAAACTAGAGTCGGTGTATAATGAGTCACGCCAAGAGTGAAGCCAAGTCTACCTATTGAACTGTCAAACCGGCTACCTATCGTGCAAAGTAAACAAACACTACGATGCTATGAAAGGTCCACGAAAGGTATTGCAATAAAATATAAAATAAAATTGAAGAAATGATCATAAACACGCAGAGAGCATTAAATTGTCATGGGATACGTTTGCTAATGATCAGTAATGAGAATTTCTACTATTGTTTGATAAGATAATTTGACAAAATCACTGATATAATGATTCACTACAGCCGCAATTTTTTGTTCTAGCTAGAAGTCATTTGAAGTTGATGCAGAAGTCCTCTGTTGCCAAGTGAAAAGAAAGGGAATCCTTCGAAAACCGTGATGCGAGTTCAACTGTTTTTCTCTTGGCGTGACTCATTATACACCGACTCTAGAAAAAACCACATAGGACGTTTTGACAAGTCGAGTTGTACATCGGACATGTTAAATTGGACGATTTTTCTCACTGACATAATCAATGAGTGTTACATTGGACGTTTTGTCTACATGATACTAGATTCCCTTTCACAGATTTCAGAGTATAGTACCTAACTTTAGATTGGCCCCGCCTTTGGAAAATGAGCACCAATCATGTTAGGCAGTCCGAATGACCGAAGTAACAATCATATACCCATCATTTCAAACTATGTACATTGGACAATTTTTGATCAATGATTATCTCAAATGAATGGAAGTAAATTTGCATGGATGTTTTTGTATCACATACAATGATAGAAGAGCAATAGTTTGTATAGCTTAACTCGATTTGTTTACATTTGTTACATTGGTCTATTTGAAAAGTGACGCGAGAAATGTGCACGTCATTTATTGATGACATATTTGGCATTGATTTCGAACCTTTCACACTAACGTTTGTTTTGCAATTTTGACATCAGTGCATAAACAGGACGGGAAAATTTTCAATTTGCTGCTAAAATTGGAATGACAAATTATTATTGGTCTTAGCCGTCCAAAATAAGGACAACACAAAGAAAAAAATTATTATTGAGTTTATGTTCATGACGTTTATCATCAACATATTTGCTCTCAAATATTAACTTAATATGAATTTTCAAGTGTGTAAAATATGTAAATCTGACAGTGCAGTTGTGTATCTTGATATTTTTGGTGAAATAAATTCGTCTAAAAATATCTCCGCCATCATATCGAAACATTTTTGGTTTGAGGTAAATACCTATTTGCAATGTTTGTGTTTTTCTTAATTAAACATAGTTTTTTTTATAGTTTAAACCGTCTCATGAGCAGCAACTCATCTGTAATGAATGTTGGAACTCGTTGTACGAATTCAATAACTTTTATGAAACGGTCGAGAAAATTCATAAATTTTATAGCGGAGACTCATTGGCTAAGCAGGACCTGTCTGGAGATCCGTTTGGAGATGACCACTTTGCTGACAAGGGCAATGTGTTTGGACATGAGGCCCAGTTGGAGTTTCTAGCCGAGGTGAAAGAAGAACCATTAGATGATCTTCATGTTAATGCTTTGGATGTTTTTGGTGGCAGCGAGCCTGATGGGGATATTACACCATCCGAGCAACGAGATTTACCAGAAAAGGTGACAACTCGGAAGTCATCAAGGATTCAGTGTAAATCTCTCTCGAAAACAATTGATACCAAGGAACAAATCGATTCGGCGTTTGGAAGACTAAGAAGACGTAATACTACTAGAGCCGTTTACAAAGACGAACAGTCGTCTTCGGAAGATGGTAAAGAAGGGTTTACGCTATCGGATGAATCCGATGTCAATGATGATGATGATAGTAATGAAGAAATCAAATCGAAAAGTAGACTGAGAGGACGTAGACGAAGGAATGCCAGTGATACGGAGGACGATAATTTAGATACAAAACCAGACGATTCCGAAGAAGAGGAACAGGAGACTGATGCTCCGTTAAAAACGAGTAGGGCAAAGCGGAAGAAGGATACGAAATTGTTCGAGCACATCGATGAGTTCATCTGCTATCTATGCCCCGAAAGAGTGGAATTTGAAAGGTTCTACCATGCAACGGTACATTATAAAAACCATCACAAGGAACCGGCTTACATAAAGTGTAAGGTTTGCGACAAGCGTTGCTACACGCCTGGGAATTTCATAAGCCATGTGGCTGTGCACACCGATCCCGATAAGTATAGGTAGATATTTAACTAGTTAAAAAATAAGCGAGGAATATTAACCATATCTTCTTGCTTAGGTGCCAAATTTGTGGCAAACAGAACGACCAGCAAGTAGCGCTTGCCAAGCATATGAGAATTCATCGTCCTGAAATGGAGGAAAAGTTGCCCATTAGGTGCCGGCTATGTCCCAGGCGATTCGCTACCGAGAAAAAGCGTGACAGACACGAAAAGCATCACAATCGCAAACCAATGGAGAAACCACCGCGGATTGTGGGTCGCGATGACGAGGTTTTGGAGTTCTACAAGCGAATCATCTGCGAAATTTGCGACCAGCAGCGCATGGTGGACGTCCACGTACCGGATGTTGAGTACGATAATATGCAAGATCTGAAAAAGCACATGCGCGAAGCGCACAACGATAAGGGTTATTTGAAGTGCCACATGTGCGACAAAAAATGTAACATTCGCTCGATGCTACTGATTCATAAAGATTTTCATCTCAACCCAGAGAAGTACAGGTTGGTGTTCGAAACATGCTTAAAAATTGAGATTTATAATGCGAAGGGTTGTTTTAATTACAGATGCGATATATGTGGTAACGTATACCAGAATCTACCGAAGCACAGGGAAGGTGCTCACACTACACCTGGAGAGGCATCGTTTTGTTGCGAACATTGTGGCAAAGCTTTGACGAGCGAGAAAAGCTTAAAATCCCACGTAGAACGAAAACATGCCGTTAAGGATGTAACCTGTGATATTTGCCACAAGCCGTAAGCCTAATCGATATAGTCTTCTATCAGAATTCGCTGATTTTGTTAAATTAAATCACAATCATATTCCTAGGTTTAGTAAAGGTACACTGGAGAGCCATAAGCGCGTTGTTCACGAGAGTGCTTCCTATATGTGCACGCATTGTCCTCGTATGTTCAAGAGTAAATTTTCCCTTAACCGCCATCAGGAAGAACACGAGGAGAAGGTCAGAGAAAGGGTTAAATGTCAGATCTGCGGTGTAACGTTCAAGCATAAGTACATACTGACGAAGCACATCGACTCGGTACACACGACGGAAGCACCTGTGTCGTGTGATGTCTGCGGTAAAATACCCTTTTGTAGCTTACTTTTACATTGGTATCGTCCGATTGACTGTTCAATTCCGTAGGTAAAATGTTCAAATCGAAACACCATCTGTGGAGTCACAAGTCGGATACTTGCAATAATCGTAGATACGATTGTACAATTTGCGGACGAGTATTCAAGGTAATTTCGAACAAACGATCGGAGCTCGGAACATTTACATTCTGTTTGCAATTATTCAGGTTAAGGTACGTTTAACGGAGCACATGACAACACATACGGGAAAGAGTCTGTACCAGTGCACGTTCTGTCCGATGACGTTTAGCTTCCAGTCGATTCTCTATACGCACCGAAAGAAGGCCCACTACGAACAGTGGCTTGAGCTGCAGGCTAAACGTGAAGAAGGCGTAAAGTTCAAAGTACTGGAAGCACCTGCTTGATTTTCGCAAAAAACAATCTACATTAGGTGTAATGAATACACAACAACACGAGGTTTTTGATAGCAAGCCATCAGAGTTCGTAATACCTTCGAAACTTGACCCTACGTTTGTCTTCGTGTGAAAAAATGGGGTTCATTAGTATTTACTACTAACATCATAAGTGGGAATCACTAATCTGTCAGACAGTGGAGTGAAATTTGAATGGTAACAATTGAACGGCAAAGATGAATGAAAGACTGCTTCAAGAAGAATGGTACCTCTAAAGCTATTCTAATACAACGGTCAAAAGACATTGCATCAGTCTTATTTCGCCATATTTTGCTCAAAGGTTGAAGCTTCAAATTGATTTAATAACAAATAATCCTACCTCGAATAAACACTTGTTCGATTTTTTCTATAAACTGAGACAAAACAAATTAAGAATTCCATAAGAACTTCTTATGATTCTGCAGCACAATAATTCCCAATGGATGGATATCGTAAGTGTGACTTATAATGTTCTACATGTATAAGATTAGCACATTGGGGCTTCATCCAGCCTGTTGACGTAAACATATAAAAATCTACACGTCATCATCATCTGCTTCATCATAGCATAGCATAGCATAAACCAGGTTGCACAATGTCGTAGGTGGTACGAGCTCCAAACTGTTGTTAAGAAGGAGACCCACCTTCATCCGTTGCTGTTAGATAGTAATTTGTGATTAATTACTACTTCTTAGATAAAAGATGTGTCTCCCTCCAGCAGACCAGAGCTGTCCTGGCCACGTCCTTGCATCTGGTGGGGAAAGGGGAGGAATGTTAGTCCGATACTTACTTAAGAGAGATGCAGAGATCTCTACGACCCCTCATAAGTGTCACGGGAAGGGTGGATTTTTGTTAGTAGGGAGGGTAAGCCATTGGATACACCCAGCCGGCGTTGCTGGCAATCTCTATATCAAGCATTTAATAAATAGAAGCTGTAAGTAGTTTATCTGTCCATTGTTGCTGCCCATTACCTAAACATATTATTCAAAACAGTTTTCAGATTTTGGAATTAAGAAACGTTATCAGCTCGATCCTGTTGCTCCTTTGCGCCTGAAAGTGTTTGTTGATCCTAAACATATGCCCAATTCATTCTGATCGATAGGAGGTTCTCATGTGTAAAAGGTTATTAATAGTATGTGGAATCGTAGATTAGAATGAAGATTCACCTTTGACCTAACTCCCACTGTCTGGCAGTGGCATTATGGATAAAATCTGCCTACAATCATTTCTTATGAATGCAAGAAGTTTGAAACCGGGAGTTAGAAGGTGACAGCTCTACCGCAGCTACAATAGCCCATTTCAAGAACGCAGCATTCCGAAGCTATTTTCACACATGATAAGCCCCGCTCCAATACATTATCGATGCAAATATACACCATTGATAATGTACTGAAACTTTCAATCAAGCAGTAGTGCAATACTTGATTGACGCGTATTTAGTAAGTTTTAAAATGATCGTCTTGAATTAGATGTATATTTCCTATCGAGGACAGAAGAACGAAAAGGTAAATAAACTTAGCTGGCCACTCTACTTTAGAAAACGATAACTGAGCTTGTTGAAAATTTTCTCAGCTACAACTCTGTTGAAGACCACTTTTCGATCAAATGTAAGGAACAAAAATTATTAAGGATTCAAGTCACTGATGTCTTATGATTATGCTCAATCAACTGTTCAGCAGGCAACATTGGTGTTTATGGCGCGTAGAATAGAGGACAAAAATCATGGCTACTATGTTACATTGCAGAATACAGTGTTGCCCACAATACAGTTGCTTAATCTTGCCATAAGATTATCAATCTCTTAATCAATTAATTACCCATATTCTTGTTTTCGTTCGAACCGTATTTTCCATTCAAAAAAACTTTTTCAACTATTTCATTTGACGTTTGCCTGAAAAACGATTTTCTGCAAAGTTGTAGCTGATAAAAATTCCCATAAGAATAGCAATAGAATTTGTTAACAGTACAATAAGTAAAAAGGCTAGAAGACAATGAACAAAAAGTTTTGTTTTCCCATAGTAATTTCCATATAAACTTCAAATGGTTTGTGCCAAGTCAGTTTCTCACTAAATGAGTTCAAGTTTTGGGAGGCTAATCAGGGCCCAATTTGGGACCGTTTGAGCACTGTGGAGTGAAAATGTCTAATTTTACATCAGTCTAGTGGCCACCTCCATGTGACACGGCTCAATTGCTATTCAAACATGAAATCAAACCAAATCTTGAAGCTTTTGTCAGATTATGGAAATAAATAATTTGTTATATACTTATAAAATTTCCCTATACAAGTTCAAAAACATAAGTATTTGTATACTCCTTCAGAAAGGCGAACTGAATTCATAGCTGTCTTCAACATTACCTTGATATCAGAGGTCAGTAGGGAGTTCACAATATTCGAGATATATATGAGATTACTTTACAATTATGATTGTATCTGTATTTACATTAAAGTTATTTATACCGTACTTTACCTACATTGCATCGATATCCTCATCCGGTTGCAACACTTCGCTGATGTATTCTTCTGGGTTGAAATCTTCCAACGCGTCCTCCCCACTGCTCACAATGATACCGCCCATGACCATAGACATGTATTCTGTGTAATGTGCCTTCTTTACGTGTTGTTCGACGCCTGACTTTGTACCATGAAAGTTGAAACACACCGGACATGTGCTTGAGTCTTCATCTTCATTGGGATTCGTTTTGATACCAAGTGCCTCTTCAAGCTGCTCGCGATCGAGATCCAACCGCTTAACGCCTTCCCGTTTCCTCTTGTCCCATTCTTCTCGATGTGACCACCGTTCATGAGAGCTGGCATATTCTTTGCTATCGAATTCTTTCGAGCAGAAACTGCATTTAACCGTCGTAGTCGAATGAACCTTGGAAACGTGGCCCTAAATCGAGAAAAAAAAGGAATTTATTTGTAAGCAAACATTTTTGATTTCAGCGTAAGCAGTCATTGCCTTTAGCAAATATTCCCTCATTGTTTTTCCACAATGTTCGCACGTGACCATGCCATCATCTCCACAGGTAGTTGATCGATGTTTTTTGAGAGCAGCCCTGCTAAACTGTTTGCCACATTTTTCACATGGTAGCAGATCATTGTCGTGCACCAACTGAACGTGGAATTTGAAGTACTTGGCTGTCATGCTGCAACGGTGTCAATAAAAACAAGCTAGTTACAATTACAATTACAATATTGTCACACTTTTGCTTACACTCGGCCACAGTCCGGACACTCGATCCTATCATCCTGGTTTACAAGCTTGTGCTTAGTTTTATGTTTTTCCATTTGAGCTATCGTTCTAAATTCCAGGAGACATTCAGAGCATTGGAATCTCTGCTTTTCTTGCTGCTCTTGTATGAGCTTCTTTAATTGGTTCCGTTGACTTTCGTGTGCTTCCATGTGTCTTTCCATATTTTTTTTTTGAATACTAGAAACCGTACAATGAATTGTAGTTAATGATTCTTTGAAAAGAGAAAGTTCCTTATAAACTTACGCCTTTTGGCACAGTCTGCATATTTCGTAATCTTTCATAACGTCCTGTTTGATTCCGGTGTCAATTCCATGCGTCTTAACATGAGCTATCATTTCCCCAGGTGTATAACTTTAGCAGATAAATAATAAAGGCGATTATCAATCATAACACATTTTTTCATACAAATTAGACAGATACCAGGGGGAAAGAGACATTATGATCCCCATGATTTATCCACAAATTTTGCAACATATCCATTTATGAAAAAAAATCCAGAAAATCTTATTTTTATCTTAATCATTCCTTTTCTATTTCTATTTATATCTTCTGTCTATTTCCCTTTTTTTTCATCCCGCTCGAAGACTTTTTTTTTTAAATAAAATGCATCCCCAGAAGTGAAGTACCCCCCCCCGACAGGTACTTACAATTCTTTGCAAATGTAGCAAGAATGTTTTTTATTAGATGGTGGAGGAGTCACCTGCTTGGGTGTGGTCACATTCGCATTGGAAGGTACTGCCCCGTCGGTGGCCACTTTATTGGCTTGTCTTCTTGCTTTGATTTTTGCTAAACATTCTGCCTTGTGTTTCGTATATCCCTCAGGCGAAAAACTGCAAGAATAATTTATGATTTATCAACTTTTTATTGCTTATGAAAAACAGTATCACCTCTTTTTGCAGAGCTTGCAACTGATCTTCACCTTATGTGCGAGAAATAGGTGATCATTTAGGACTGACCTAGTGGCTAGCGTAATTTTGCATAGTTTGCATTGAAACTCGTTCGTAGTCAACAGTTCGAACAATTTCACACCCTTCTCATCAGCTGATCTCATTTTTTTCTCAACCGGTGCTGATGTTAGTGGCGCTGGTGCTAACCGTTTTTGGAAATTTTGCGGAACGGGAAACACGTTTTTCAATTTCCGCACTGTCGCTTTTTCCTGATTGTTTAAGATAGTTTTATAGAAAGTAAAAAAATCGCATACGGATTTGCTACAGTTAGCACAAATCAGTTCACTTTCTACACGTAGTTTCTGGATAAAGAAATGCGATTAAATAAAACATGATAATCGTGTAATTGGAATGCTTACATCTTTGAAGAGAATTTCAATTGCTTGACGGTGTTCCGGTTTCAATGGTTTCAGCATTGCAGTCGCCAAGCAAAGAATGCACTTGAGGCCTACAAAAACCTTAGGTCTGCCGGGAAATGTTACCGGTTCTGCTGCCTTTTCAGCTAATTTGGCATTTTCTGCAGCACTTGCTTGTGGTAAGCTGAAATCGTCGATTGTCATGCAATTCTGTGTCATTCGCGAGTCATTCACCAACGAAATTAAATTGTATAGATCGAAATGAGCTACGAAGGGACAATAAGTATAATTGAATATCTTATCAAGTTCGCATAACTCACCGACATGATCAGCGAAACAGACCCTTTTAGTCATGTTGACAGTTGGAATCCAATCGACATTTTCAACATCAGTCAATTCTGCCATGGTGCCTATAAGTATTATTTCAGTAACGATTAGTACCTGTGTTAGGCCAGGAGTATGGATTACCTGTTGCAAAATGTAAGCTGCACAGCTGCAACTTGCATATGTCAACCTTATCCCAGCTAGTAGATTGATCCAACAATTGAAGCCATATCAGAAGTCGTTTCTCAGAAAGCACCCGGCGCACGTAGTTGGTTGTATCCAGCATCGGAAAAGGAAAAATCTTCGTTTTCCAACTTGGACGGTCGTTGCTCCTGCAATATTTCATACTACAAATCTGCAATCAAACATTATGAGAAGATTCGAATGATATTTATTTTCCACGGAACTTACCGTCTGCGGATGCTTCTCCTGCTCGGGCCTGCTGATCTCTCCAGCTGCTTCCACCTCCGCACCCTGTACCGCTGAAGGAGGCTGCTCCGGCAGATGGAGCGATGGTACCCAATCAACGTTAGCCGGTTCATCGAAATTCGTAGGTTTACCGCCAACGAAATGTTTGCCACAGATTCGTACACTCCTATTTACTGGTTTCGTGTAGCCGGAGGCTTTCCGCCACATAGCCAATCGCATAGCCAAGAGCTTCTCATGTTCCTTGGTACTGTACTTCCGTGGCAACGGGAAGGTGTAGAAGCTCAGGTCACAATTTTTGTTGTGGTTCCGGCATGTTTTTACCGCACACGAAATAACCATTTCTTGATTTCTGTTTTTCGAGATTAAAATTGTTGTGATGAAACGATGAAAGTCACTGTCAAAGCCCGTGATGAAAACAAAGCCTGCTCTCTAAAGTTTCGCGCAGTTTTCAGTTTGCTTGATAATGCATGTATGCAAAGATCTCTGTGCCGGATTTCACGAACACATGTGTAGCCGTGTAAAGCATCAGCATCAAATGGCAAAACTTACACGGTAAACAGCGCAAACACATAAATGAGTAAAAAAATACACATTTCAGTGCCAATATTTCAAAGGGGCGTAATTGCATTTGTAAACAAAGGCTTTAGCCGTCGATTTCTCGCGAATAAAAGATCACTCATGAAAAATAATGACACCAGCAGGTAGAGCAATGTTTCCTCTACCAGCTAGCATTGTTATTTTGGAGAGGTAAGATTTCATTCGCGAGAAATTGATGGCTAAAGTCATTGTTTACAAAAGCAATTACGCAATTTTGAAATGTTGGCTCTGGTTTTTTATATTTATATGCAGCTGTCAAAAAATGTGTAAATTTGGATCCTAAAATGTGTGCAAAAATACACATTTTAAGAATGTAGTACCAGTCAAAAAATGTGTATTTTTATAATTATTATTGGGTAAAAAAAGCTTCAAACTTTGGTGCGAATTTTCAGTGAAGAACAGCATAGGGATTGCTAAAGTATGATTGTGTCAGTGATTTGTTTTCATCGGGAACATTTTCCGCTATGAAGTGTTTTTTTTTCGATGAAAACATTTTGCGTATACGTATACGTGACGTAGTGTGCGTACGATAAACGTCAGCAATCTCTATGAAGTTTTTTTTTTTCCCGATGAAAACATTTTGCGTATACGTATACGTGACGTAGTGTGCCTTTTCCGAAAGTGGTATTGGTTTGCGTTGGTGTACTTTGGTTCACGTGTAGAGGGCCTTAGAAAGTTTGTTTACAAATGCTTTTGTGCCGTTATCAAATGTTATGCCTGAATTATAGTTTCAAAATACTTTAAAGTATGTGCCAAAACTTATATCCAATCATCCAAGAAGTCTCGCGTCACTTTTCAAATAGACCAATGTAACATATCCACCATTTTGAGAAAATCGAAGTTGAAGTTCGACAGATTATTATTTTAACTGTTTAAAAACAATACATTTTGCAATACTATTTTTAATGTAGTCAGTGTATAATAACGTTGAAAATTCAGAAGAAACGGTAAAATCACAATTTTACTTTGAATTTCATGCTACAACATAGAAAAAACCACATAGGACGTTTTGACAAGTCGAGTTGTACATCGGACATGTTACATTGGACGATTTTTCTCAATGACATAATCAATGAGTGTTACATTGGACGTTTTGTCTACATGATACTAGATTCCCTTTCACAGATTTCAGAGTATAGTACCTAACTTTAGATTGGCCCCGCCTTTGGAAAATGAGCACCAATCATGTTAGGCAGTCCGAATGACCGAAGTAACAATCATGTATCCATCATTTCAATCTGTACATTGGACAATTTTTGATCAATGATTATCTTAAATAAATGAAAGTAAATTTGGATGGATGTTTTTGTATCACATACAATGACAGAACAGCAATAGTTTGTATCGCTTAACTCGATTTGTTTACATTTGTTACATTGGTCTATTTGAAAAGTGACGCGAGAAGTGATCAGTGTCGATTTTGCGTCGGTCGTTGTGTTTTTTTCCTTTATTTGGTTGATGATCCGGGCCCAATTTGCTACCAGAACCAAACATCAAAGTGCATTTTATTCACAAGCTGCTTATTCATCTCTGTCTACGACTCTTTGTGAGACAACTGGCTCTGATCATCGCTGATCGCTAACGTGCAATCTGAAAATGTACACAGGATCGAGGCTGGTCTTTTTCACGATGCATGCACAGAGTGACATGAAGAAGAAAAGTGATATTTAGTTATTGTGTGGTTGGATTCGCTTTAGGAGGAATTGTTTAAAAATTACTAGAGAAAATTAAGCATCGGGAATGCGCTCCCGAATATATTGATTTGGTGAGTACGTTCCAGTTGAAGATTGTTCGCTCTAAATAACCCTTTTTTGAATACATTTCATTAATCAAACATTATTATATGCTGGGTTTGGGGGGGCAGTCACGCCAAGAGAAAAAAACAGTTGAACTCGCATCACGGTTTTCGAAGGATTCCCTTTCTTTTCACTTGGCAACAGAGGACTTCTACATCAACTTCAAATGACTTCTAGCGAGAACAAAAAATAGCGGCTGTAGTGAATCATTATATCACCCTAATAAAAAATGTATGGTTAATTTGCTTAACGACGTGTTCTGGGTATCATCCAAACCATTTGTGGAATAGTTCAATGATTTGGGTTATCGTTCGTTTATGGTTATTTTTTATTAGGGCAGTGATTTTGTCAAATTATCTTATCAAACAATAGTAGAAATTCTCATTACTGATCATTAGCAAACGTATCCCATGACAATTTAATGCTCACTGCGTGTTTATGATCATTTCTTCAATTTTATTTTATATTTTATTGCAATACCTTTCGTGGACCTTTCATAGCATCGTAATGTTTGTTTACTTTGCACGATAGGTAGCCGGTTTGACAGTTCAATAGGTAGACTTGGTTTCACTCTTGGCGTGACTCATTATACACCGACTCTAACTGGAATAAGAGACCAGTGGAGACACTGTTATGATTCCAATCGAACTGTCAAAAGCGGTTCCAATCTGCAATGTTTACAAATGGTTTGCTTCAATTAGGGAGGAGTATTAAAATCGTTTAACAATCACTCATGAACTCGCTCATCGGTGCATTGGCGGAGTCACTCGCAAGCAGTTACAAATGCAAGTGATGCCAGGATTGCTTTGATGTTTATCTTGTTGCCAAATTCATTTTTTTTTCTCCGCTGGTCTCTTATTCTAGTGTTTCTAGTGTAGTGACTGCTTTCTAGCACCCCAATGGGTCTGGGTTCAATCCCAGCCGAGGTCGGTGTGATTTTTCTGAGGTATAAAAATCTCTGGGAAGTAAAGCCGTTGGTCCCGGCCCATGTGTGTTGAATGAGTGCGATATTTTACGCAGGCGTGGAAGCTGCCTTCCTGCACATTCGATTGCCGTCAATGGATGGCAATCGATGTCCGTCGGTGATTGGCACTAGATTGCGGAACAGAGACCGACGTTAAATAAAGGAAAAAGAAGAAAAACAGCACAAATGGAGGAACTACGGTCCAAACTGTGCGGACAGTGCGCAACAATGGATGGAAGGTGATTTTTTATACTTTTTTCCAGAGGGAACGACAATCATTTGGATGTATTTTTTCAGTCTAGTAATTACTTGGGATTTTCGGGGAAAAACATAATTGATGGGATTTTTTGAGTGTGTCGTGTTGACGAAAATAGAGCAGGGATAGAAAAAATAGATGGTAATAGATCAGGCAATTGATGTGATGTGAGGGATGTTAAAAAATTTCAGAGGGATATGAGTCTGAACGCGAAGAGGATAGGTGTAAAAAGAAGAAAAATTTGCTGCAATGAAGCGTCCATGAATTACGTAACGCTTATAGGGGGAGAGGGGTCACCTATATCGTTACGAATTATACATAGGGGAGGAGTAGTAAAGCCTTGCGTTGCGTAAAAAAGAGAACAGTTTGTTTTTTTTTCGTTTCTTGATGTAAAGTTTGAAAATACAGGTCTTTTTTGACGTTTTTGGCAACGACAACGAAGGCTATCATCACTAAATCTTGCTTTACAAAATGGATCTGTTTTAATTTTATAAATTGAGATTTTTGCTATCTTGAACTTTTGAAAAGGAGGTACTCGATGGTATGCTGATCTTTTGTTTTTGTTTTGAATATTAATAATATAATTAATTACCTAAAAATAAAAAAAATACAAAACGAAATCAAACATTAATTAAATGAAAAGGCGGGGGAGAAGGGTTTATAGAGCGTTGCGTAATAAATAGAGGGGGGTCATTTTCAGTGTAACGTTTTGTTCCAAAGGGGGGGGGGGGGGTCAAACATATTGATTTTTAGTGAAACGGAATTAATGGACACCGCTCGGGACACCGCCCAACTATAATAATCAAAGCTCACAGTCACAGCTCAAGTGCAGAAAACGGTTCCGCACCGAAAAGGTCGAAACTGCGCAGTAGGATGAACGGGTGATGGCGATGGATTACAAAGTTCCAGTTAATATTCCCAGCTGTATTTGGACGGGAATTTGATCCGCAATATTGTCGCACAGAAATACATCACCCGGTGGGTGTCTTACTTCACCATTAGCTCTTTCTTATCCTAACCCTTGACCAGCAGCAGAGACGAGTAAAACTTGGGCCGAGTGGAAAAAACGACCTGAATTCCTTTTCCACCTGCTTGTCGTAGGGGGTTTCATTGGTAAGGCTTTTCCCGGGGCTAGAATCAGCAGTTCGAACGAAATCAACAGTTGCTTCGCGCCTGTTCGGTAACTTCCATGCTACAACACACAGAGACCCGGGCTCTTATCCGTCGAATTCGATCGGTTTGAGTCCGGGAAATGGATGTGCGTTGCCGTCTCCTCCGTGATGCACTTGATGTTTTTTGCCCCCGAGACCGATTATAGACGAATGGTCCGTCATCTTTTTTTAGTTTTCGCACCGATTTTTTACCGGCATGGTCAGCTGACATACGTGGTGTTTGTTGTGGAGAGTGTTGTAAACTGACAGTGAGTATGGCAGAGTGCTTCGCGGTCGACCTGAAATCTTCGAGAAACTGCACGGCTTGCTTGCCAATTTGTGTGCATGCAGAAGGGATAAGTTGGGAATAGAAAGAATAGATAGGATGGATTGAAATTTTGTGCACGTTGAAAATTATATGAGAGGTTTGGGTAAAAATGGGATAATCCTGAAGTGTCGTTCCCCCTGCTTTTTTCATAGCTTTTAGTTTTAGTTTAGTTTTAGAAAAAAAAAGTAAGAGGTTGTATCCAAGACTCGACCGTATATTTGACATAGGATTACGTGCTCGGTATCAATATTTAGCGA